CTAGTGCTGCTGGATGAGCACGGCTGACCCGGTTGACAAACGTGAAGAGATGGTTAAGACGTTTTATTGGTTGTCCTTGTAGACACAACCCACGGAAGAGAGTGAGCACAGGGTGCATCACAAACACCGAGGCACTCGTGCAACAGCCGCAAGAAATTCCCCGCAGAAAAGACGCATTCGGAACTCGGAACACGCGACAGCGGAACACGTGACAACTTGTCAAAGATATGATCGGAGATACCCCGAAGATCCAAGATCGGTGAACAGCCACTACTTGCGCACTTGCATGTAGCTCAAAACCACGCATGAGTATCGCCACAGTAGCCTTCGTAAGGATGGCATAATCCACCTCACGAACACCCTCCCTGATTCTGTACATCGTTACGAATGCTCTCAAAACCAAAGTTTCCAAGGTGTACTTGTACTGTAGTAAACTCAAAAAGAAACAAAAACGAAGGGAAACCCCGCCCCAGGATCAAAACCCTCCGCCCCCAAGGTTCATCCTGCTGAATGACTTGTCCACACAAAAATCAACACAGCAGTCGCCAAAATTGCAAACCGACGCGTTTACAAATATCAGACATTTGTGCTACTCCTTTCCAAGTAGCCCCCTCCCAGCAACAGGATCCCAACTGTATCCGGCTACTGTTAGCACAGGGGTGCGCCTACAACCCCAAGCACCAATGTCAATTCGCAGCGGAAAAACGAATATCAACGCTACATCGCTCTTAATGACATATAAAAAAGGGCGATCAACCAAACGGAAGATCAAGCAGTATCTCAACCACACGCAGTTCATCAACCAACTTGCTGGTACGCTGCTGCGAGAAACACTGGTAACAGACATTTCTTTACTACCCCTTTACAAGTAGCTCCCTCCCAGCAACAGGATCCCATTCTGTATCAAGCTGCTGTCAGCACCGCAGCACCGGGGCCCGTCTGCAACCCCGAGCACCGTTGTCGATCCATAACAGAAAAGCGAAAACCAACGCTACATTGTTCTCAGCTGAAGGACAGAGGGCAATCAATCACATCGCAGGGAAGGGTGCCCCCCTCGACCTGTACATCAATGAAAGATCAAAGCAGTGTCTCAATCAAAACAGATCATCACCCAACTGTTGATACCTGCGAAAAAAATGAGAAGACACTGGTTGCCATCTATCACGAAAAAGGGTCATACCTCAGCCCTCCCTGACAGGCNGGAGAGACACTGGTCGCCATCCATCAGATGGGTCATACCTCAGCCCTTCCTGATTTCAGGCAAAAAACTCAGCCACAAGTCGGAAAAACAAAGGCTGATAAAATAATTCCGAACATATTCAATCACATTGGTGTGATCGCGGTGCCCCGCGGATCACCAGTCCTCAAAATGAGACAACAACGGAATACCACACCATCCTCAGTATTTCGTCGTGCAATGAGCCTCATCATGGCTCAACCTACGCGGTTAGTTACTGAGATGCGCATGGTATATCGGACAAGCAACATCGGGTTTCGTGGACTGCGTTCGTATCCCGATCAAACACACAAGAGAAAAAAAAAAAACGAGCGAGCGGCGGAAAAAAATAACACACCTGTTAAATAAATTCGAAATAATGGAACCACGAAGGGGTTCCGTGGATGAGAACAGATGAACTGCAGAAAGCTTGAAGCAAGTGCTCACTTGTGAAAAGCCTTCCCAAACCGAACGAGGAAGCACGGCTTGCGAATAACAGCACTACTAGACGCGATGCAGCTGACCGCGGATCAGCTGGCCGGAGCTAAGGAGGTCCCCACGGGGAAAGCCGTCAGCGACTTTGCGTGTTTCGACGCGAATGTGGCCCT